CAGCGTTCTATTTCTGGGTTTGTGTGGGAGATCGCAGATTAGGCATGGCCTCATTGTTTGGGGCAAACGGGTCTTACAGGGGCTGAATGGCCTCTCATCTTCCTATGAAACAGGTTCAAGAAGGGAGGGGGGCGCTGAATGGCCTCCTGCGAGCCATGTGTTTGCCCTGCCGTGTCTTGGTTCCTGGCAGCACCAGGGCCTGGGCACTCTGGTAGGACCCGCTCCCTTGCCCCATGTACCTCTGGGTCCATCCCTTCGTGCTCCAGTTCCAGGTCAGTGAGACAGGGGCTCGGTAGAGAGATCTGGGATCCTGTCTTGAGCTGTTCCAAGTATGTCCACCTTCTCTGACATCCTGAGATGGATGGTTTCTACAGACAGGACAGACAGGGCTTCGTCAGGGTAACGTGAGAGACTTCAGATGATGCTGAACTATCCTTTCAACAATCATTCCATACCCTCTCTGCCTTCACTTTCCACATTCCCATCCCTGAATCCCGCACTATCAACCATTGACCAGAAACTCAGCTGGACTCACCACATTAACACAGCGGCTACAAGAGCAGGTCAGAGGCTGGGAATCCTGCAGCGAGTAACCCACCCCCTGACTCCCCCCAAAGCCTGTCCCACCATCGACAAGGCACATGTCATGAGTGCGATGGGATACTCCCCACTTGCCCCTGGATGGGGGCAGCTCCAACGACACTCAAGAAGCTCGACACCATCCAGGAAAAAGCAGCCCCCACTCGATTGGCACCACATCCACAAACATCCCACTCCCTCCCCCACCGACGCTCAGTAGCAGCAGTGTGTACCATCTACAAGATGCGCTGCAGAGATTCACCAAAGATCCTCAGGCAGCACCTTCCAAACCCACGGCCACTTCCATCCAGAAGGACAAGGGGCAGCAGATACATGGGAACACCAGCCCCCTGCACATTCCCCTCCACTCCCCATCCTGACGTGGGAATATATCGTCGTTCCTTCAGTGTCTCTGGGGGACAATCGATCTACACAGAGAGTGAGAGTGAATGACTGAGCAGTACCTGAGTCAACGCAGTGAACGACAGACTCAACGTGTTCTCAGCGTCAGGAGCCATATCCTTCAGATTCCCCCCGTCAGCCGAATTTTCAGGGATGAATCGACGCGGAGCTGTCACAGAGTCCTTGGGTGCACCCTGTCCCACGAGTCCCTTCTCCTCCTCATTCAACACTCCTCTGGCCAAGTCGATCATACTCTACCTT